GGTTTTAATAGGATCTATTTTTAATAATTTGATACATTTAGGAAGTAGTGTGAATGTTTTATGATTTCATGTTATTCATTATATTAAAAATGAACTCAGTTTAAAGATTGATTCAATTTTATGTTTTGTAATGTTCTGATATTGTACAACAGTTATATGTACATTCATAAAACTTGGAGGAAGATATTTTAAACTGGACTCTATGACATTGTACAGGGAATTTTCTGAAATATGTATTGTAATTGTAATTGCAGCTCAAATTACAAAACATGGATCTGGAGATTCTAACTAGGCAGGCTAAATACTGGATTATTATGCAAAATACTATTTGAGTTCCACTATTTTATATTATATTATTTTACAGTATATAATTCTTTATATTCTAGTGGAGAAGTGGTTTTTTCCTTTCTATCCAAGGCTCTATTCCTTTCGATTAATTTTGTGGGAAGCCCCCCCTTCTGCCCCATAATAATGAAATATTTTGGGGGATATTAAAAAGGCAAGGTAGAATATTTCCCCTAAAGGGGAAATGAAAAAAAGAAAACATTAAAGGAGGCAGAAATCAGCCCCAGTTCCACTGCCCCAAGCAGAAACTGAGGAGGCCAGCTTATAAAAATGCAGATTTGGTGATTCATTCAGAAAGACTGGGTCAGGAGAAACTTCAGATGAATTACACAATAAGCAACACAATCGAGCCAAAGGTCGACAAAATTAGCTCAAACACTAAGGATTTTGTTGTTGGACAGTAGTGAGGAGGTTGGGGAAGAACCCGGGCCATTCCTGGAAGCTGAGGAAGGCTCGGATGAGGGGTCTGTGTCAGAGGCTGATGGGGCCAGGGCAGGCTGGCAGTCATCAGCTGCCTTTGGGCTCTGACAGCAGTGAGACAGGGGAGGTTCTGGAACCGGTTCCCAGCTTGCGCATGTGCAGAGCTGCCAAAAGGAAAGCACAATTAAGAACTCAGGGTTGATGTGCAAGTAAGGCCACAGGTGAACAATGAACGGCCCCTCCAATCTGGATTAAAAGAGAAGCGAAGGGGGAGGGAGCTTTTGTTGGAAACAACTCTCTTGCTTCTTCATTCCAGCCTCATGAGGATTTGTCTGTATAACCCAGCCCTTCCCTGCCATCACTGAGTGTGGAACTTTTAGATGATCTCTGGCGGGAGCGGGATGGTGGTAGTGCATCCATCCTTGCTCTACTTGACCTCTCAGCGGCTTTTGATAGCATTGACCATGGGATTCTCCTGGGACGGCTTCGGGGGATGGGAGTGGGAGGCCTTCTGCTGTCTTGGTTCACTTCCTTCCTCTGCGGCTGCTTAGTCAGTGTCGATAGGAGGGGAGAGATCCAACCCTCTCCCACTGCTTTACGGGGTTCCACAGGGCTCGGTACTCTCTCTGCTCCTGTTCAACATTTATATGGAACCGCTGGGTAAGATCATCCATCACCATGGACTGAGGTATCACCAATATGCTGATGATACTCAGATGTATGTCTTGGCCCGTGTTGAGTTAAGTGTTGTGTCCTCCCTCTCACAGTGCCTGGAGGCTGTTAGGGGCTGGATGGGGAGCAACGGGTTGAAACTAAACCCTTGCAAGACTGAGTGGCTCTGGGTCTGGGGTTCATTGGTTCAGGGAGAATTACCACCTATAGTCTTGGATGGCACTACCCCAAACAGATTCTGTGCGTAATCTAGGGGTTTTCCTGGACTCACGACTCCTGTTCGAAGAGCAGGTGGTGGTCGTGGCCAGGAGGGCCTTTGTGCAACTGCAGGTTGGGCACCAGTTACACCCTTTCCTGGATCAGCGGTCCGTACTCACAGTCACTCAAGCCCTGGGCACCTTCCATCTTTATTATTGCAATGCACCCTACATGGGGCTGCCCTTGAAGAGCATCCGGAAGCTCCAGTTGGTGCAAAATGCAGTGGTGTGCATGGTTTTATGCAGACCCCGGTGTGCACATGTATCATCTCTCCTGCAGGAGCTGCATTGGTTGCCAATTTGCTTCCGGGTGCAATTCAAGGTGCTGGTTGTCACCTTTAAAGCCCTTCATGGCTTGGGTCCGGGTTATCTGAGGAAATATCTCTTGCCAGTGACATCTATCCGACCCATTAGTGAGAGGAGGCAGGGAATGCTGTGGATCCCAGCCCTGAGGGAGATACACCTGGTGGGACCTAGAAGAAGGACCTTCTCTGTGGTGGCTCCGTCTCTCTGGAACATCATTCCCCCAGAGATTAGAATGGCCCCCTTATTAATACTATTCTGAAAGGCACTGAATACCTGGTTTTGCCAGCGGGCCTGAGGAACCCAGAGAGGGATGGAACCCATCAAATGGCTAGTGTGATCCGCTGTCGTCGGGGTAGGGGTGGGTGGGAGTTGGTTTTTGTTTTTTTGTTTTGCTTTTTGTTCTTCCAAATTTTGTTCTATTGTACTTTAGTAATTTATTTGATTCTTTTTGTTAGTTCTTGTTTTTATTTTTTTGTTTTAAATATGATTTTACATTGTGTAAACCTCCTCGAGTCGCCATGGGCAAATAGGCGGCAATATAAATCAATCAATCAATCAAATAAATAAATAAATTACCAGGCAGTGCTCCAGGATTGATAAAGGTCTGAGCTAATTAGTATACCTTTGCAGTCTTGCCAAGCTGTTGGCTGACTGTTAATGAAATAAATTCACATTAATGTAATAAAAGAGGTTTATGCAGGTACTCAAGACTTGACTTAGTGCTTTTTGGGGAGGCCTAGGACAGAACAGATTTGCATTTCCCCTTTTGCCTATAGAATCAGCCATGACCCCTATATGACCCCAGAATCATATGCGCTTGGTGGTTCTGCTTCATTTTCTTTCCAATCAACCTCCCTTTTATTCCTGGATTGGAACTGGATCCGGATATGTCTGCCAACAAGGGCAATTCCACTTCCTTGAGTTGAACACTGACAATCTGTCCTAACAGAAAAGGTTTTGCTTCTCACATGGTTTTAACAGTGACAGATTGAAATAAATGTAAAGACAAGATCTAAGTAGAAAAACCATAAAATAAAAATCTATTCCTTTTAAAACGCTTTAGAAATTACTACAATTCTTCTTCCCTGTTTCTGTAAGGAAGAAAACCAAACAATACTTGGAAGGCTGGAATGGAATATTTTAAATTCAAATGTTTGTCTCTACATCTATTTCAAGAAAGTCTGTCTGTCCATTACCCCAGGTCTCCGGCACAGAAGCAATATAATTGAACCCCAGGTTAACCTGGATGATTTATAGGTGATTTATTTGTAATTCTATTTGTAATTAGATGATCTAGTCAACAGGCTGTATTTCAAGGTATCTTTATTCATCCCATTATCAAAACACCAGTCTTACTTTTTCGGCAGTGCCACTCTGATGCCTTAAATCATGATCTTTTTCTTTAATATCCTTCTCCCATGATTCCAAATCTTTCACAAAATCTTGAAGTTCCTCAGCATTTTGTCGTATTTGCAACTGCAACTCAATTGCTTTATTTGGTGAATTCATCTGATGAAAGAATACATTGGAAAACAGATAGGGCTGTAAGAATACAAACAAATTTTAGCTTAAAAAAAAAAGAAAAAAACATATTTTTGGCGTAGTATTATGTAAATTACATGTACTTACAGTGGAAAAATCAGCTTACCAGTGATTATTACAATATTACTTTAGGTGTAAAAATAACACAAGCAAATTGAAATCATTCAGGTTCAAAACCTCTTTGAAGGACATTTTCCCTTTGGATAAATTAAATCTTAGCATCTTACGAAGAAGGTACTAAAAAGTGATGTTCTGCCAACCAGCTGGGCCCAGTCAAAGTTCTGCAAAGTTCCTCTGACCTAACACAGCTAATCAGGTTTCCAGTTCACCTGAAACTAAATCAGCACCCAGAGGGGAATCAAACCAGGAGCATGAATTCTGCTTGTGCAAGCACCCTTGCACTTTTTTAAAACTGATATGGAATAACTAATCCACCTTTTAATTTTTCACTAAAATGGGAAATTATTAGAACAAATCATGGGTGTAACTTATTTTTATATACAAGTGATATAAGCATGCCTTATTTCTGTATATATTCATTCTGTAGCCTCATAAAAGCCCATCTCTTTGGCGGGACTTTCCTTTTTTAAAGGGCAGATCAAAAGAGAGAGGTCGGTGTATGGTGGGCAAGAAGGGACGCGGGAGGGGGACGAGGCGTGAAAGCAACCCTGATGCATTACAGTATTCCCACAGTGCAAAAGGATCGTCCTGAGTGCGTCCTATGAATGCTGAACATCACCTTCCAAAAAGAAGGGAGAACGTCAACTTCTCCGACTGGGCCAAAAAGGCAAACAAGGGTCATATTTCCGGTTTTTCATAAGCATCCAAGAAACAAGCCATTAGCCCAATCTCAATGCACTTTCTTTGCTCCCACCCCCGCCAGCCCTGCCAACCTCTGCGACTGTCAACTCCTCTCTCTTTTGCTGCTCCGAAGCCCGTCTCGCTTTTCTTTTCTACAACAGCCAGCGCGCCAAGCGAAGGGAGGTGCGTCTCCGTGGTAGCCGCTCTAGCGGAAAAGACTGGTAGAAAGAGAAAATGAGAAAGAGCGTCGACAGCTCCCATCGCCCACCTCTCCGCATGCGCGTGCATGAGCGTGCATGAGCATCGTGTGATTTACTTCTTCCTACAGAAAATGCGCATGACTGCTGCGCTTCCATTACTCCGCTTCATAGATACAGAATCTAGAAAGTTGCTGAGGCAGAAAGATAGTTATAATTTATTTGAGTATACATGTTTTGGAAAAGAGACGTAAAGGAAGAGCTCTTATGGACCCCATCTCACTTTAGCTTACCTACTATGAATTGCCCCAGAGAGGCAGCAGGAAACACGAGTGGCGAACCTGTATAGTTTCAACGGAAGATGGCCTTTGTCTGGATTCGAGCGACGAGAGTACGGTGGCCGGGGAGGCCAAGAGAGTAGAGATCTCCGTTTGCACTTTCGCACGCGCTTGTATGAACGATGGCATCTGAGCAGCCCTCGCAACCGGAGAGTCGCGGCTCTGGCGAAGAGGAGGATGAGGACTTTGGCTACCGTCGGTTTCCCGAGCGAACTCTTGGCCAGGGGAAGAAGCCCGCGTTGAAGGGAAAAATAATATCCACCTTGTTTGGTTCCCAGTCTAGGTGCCAGTCGATGCTGAAGGTTGCTCTAGACAGTAAGTCCTCCCTTGGCTCCCTGGTCGTGAGAATGTATTTTTCTAGTGAGGAAGGATGATGTACCATCTTCTGTGTCAGAAATAGCTCTAGGTATTTAGTCTGCACTCTCCTCAAATACATGATCCTTAACATATTTCCTGGAAGTTTACTGCCTGATAAATTGTAATTCTGACCTTGAAAACGTATTGCCCCATCTTAAGTAACTAGTATAATGACCAACCAAAATGCCATGAAGCTATATCTGTATAGTTACAAAAATATGTATACACACACACTCCCATTTGACAGAATTCTTCAAAAGGTAAAACAGGGATGAAAAAAACAGGAAAAGGTGGAAAGATCCAAAATTTTAGAGCATGTATTTCAACCATGAGATCTGCAGAGTTCCAAAATGGAAGTTGAAAACTTAATGCACAATTGTAGTATGTGGTATTATTTATTATAATTGTATAATACTTGTATTTCATTTTTCCAGATTATAAATCTTCCCAAAGTGACTTTAAGGTTAAAATTAAACCTACCAACTAACAACAAAGAGAATACTTGTTCCACTCCTGTGGTCATGGTTAATGCAGAGGAGATTTGGCCTAGGAAAGAGCAAAAATAAAATATCATTTGAGTATTTATTTTAATAAAGTTGGAGACTAATTTTGCTGATATATCAAATGTCATCTGAATCAAACTGTGTACTCTTCCATAGCAAGGGGAGACACATTTCAGTCAAAGTTCAATTCCTTCTCCATGGCTTCATCTTCTTTCTTCTTCCTTTTCGATTTAATTACAGTTCTGGAACATTCTGCTGGTCTTATTTTTCTAGATACACTATTATTAACTTATTTATTTTAATCATTTAAAATAAATATCTCACAACATTAGTCAAGGGTGTTGATGTTGTCATCTAGCTGGACACTTGGAAGGAATAGAAACCTCAAACATACCATTTCTCCTCAAAATGGATAACATTTATTTTTTCTTCAAGTAGAAATCATGCTGACGCATATTGGAGACTATATTACATTTTTTCAGTCTGCTATTATTGAAGCAAAGATTTTAACACATGATAACTTTGAGGGGTCACTAAGTGAAACAATAAATGAGCACTTTTATAAAGGTGCTCAGTTGAGTTCATAGTATCTGAATACAGCGGAGAAAGACTTCTAGTTGAAATCTGGAAGAACGTGCCAATATTTAAGACAATTTTAAATTAGATTGACACAGCTTAATTTGTTGCAAGTCAGCTTCCATATAGTGTACAGTACTTCTTTATCTGAACGCAAGAGTGAAGTTTCAGTGAGTTATGGAAAAACAAAGTGCTCTATTTCTACACTCTAGTCTAATAATCAAGATAAATTGATAATGTTCAGCAAAAACAAAATACCCTATTTATTTCCTTGATGATGGAGATTCTCATAGTTGTGCCAAAGGTACCTTTTCAAAAGGCACATGGACTTTCTTCAGTCTGAAGAAGCTTCTTGGACGAGAAGCGAAACTTGTTCAGAGGAAAAAAACCAAGAAAATCCAGTTGCCTTTTGAAAGAGTACCTTTGGGACATGTTGCTTTCCTATGCTCTGGTATCATGGTTTTATTGTAGCATCTAGGTGTTGGGCCATCTACCTTGGTGTCCTACATCAAAATATTTTTCAAAGTTTTTATTGAAGTAGAATATTCATTTGCAATTTCACTCAGATTAGTTCTAATGCTCCTTGGCTGTGGAAGTCATATGTACACTTGAACATTATTAAGTTCCCTTAAATTAATGAGATTTGATATCTAAGTAAACATTTAAGATTTTGCCAGTAGTATCGCTTGCAGTCGCTGAAGTTCATCTTTGTGTTTTGATTATGATATCTATAAATCATTTCTGGATGTATGATGTTTCATAAGTTTAAGATGTTCTAAACACTTTCTGTGGTAATTTAAAGAGTTCTTCTTTTTTTTCTCTGAACAACACATTTTTTTAGAAATGAGTTATTATGCCAATGTTTATTCTAGGTCCACAAGCTAAACTGCTACTTGAAGCTATGAAGAATTCTGGCTGGTGAGATAATTTATGTCCAAAGTTTATTATATGATGCTCTGTATTATATTTGTTATATGCGTGACTTTAATTGTTTTAGTGCTGTGACCAATAACCGACACATTTCATGTGAAAATTGTGATAAACATGTTGGTGGAGGATTTGATTCTTCAGTATCACAGGTAAGGTACTACTTTTTTCTGCTCCTAATACGTGCATCTTTTTATTCTCTGCTATGTTAGACGTGGTGGCTCAGTGCTAAAACGCTGAGCTTGTCAATCAGAAAGGTCGGCATTTCAGCTGTTCGAATCCCTAGCACCGTGTAACGGAGTGAGCTCCCGTTAGTTGTCCCAGCTTCTGCCAACCTAGCATTCAAAAGCATGTAAAAATGCAAGTAGAAAAATAGGGACCACTTTGGTGGGAAGGTAACAGCCTTCCGTGTGCCTTCAGCATTTAGTCATGCTGGCCACATGACCACAGAGACAGTCTTAGGACAGCACTGGCTCTTTGGCTTTGTAACGGAGATGAGCACCACCCCCTAGAACCGGAAACGACTAGCATGTATGTGCGATGGGAACCTTTACCTTTATGTTAGTAAAACAAAATAGTTGAGTTTTGTAGTCAGTGTTAAATAGTAGAGTTTATTAGAATTTTTGTCAATCTCAATATTTTATAAATATTGCTATTAAACTCTCTGATTTTTTTCCTTTTGGCTTAAAATACTATATATATATATATATATATATATATATCCTAATTTTTTGTAAGCTAGCTTCATTATATAACTATATAACTATAACAGGAAATCAAATAAATTAGGAACAGCCCCAGAGCTCAATGTCAAAGCAACTATCCTTCACTAGTAGTCAAGCTGTTTGGCAGTAAAAAAACAGAATTCATGGTGGGCTGGACTTAGATCTCTTGTGGGCACTCATGTATCATCAGTCAGCCTGGTCATCTCCTCCAGGCATATTGTAATGACATCAGCTGGTTTTTAATCTGACTTTATATTTTAATATGTATATTTAGTCTCTGGGAGGTTCTTCATGCCCAAAAGGAAAGAGAGGGAGAAACCGGATAAATAGTATCTTCAAGTTCTCTGGCACTACATCTAATGAATGATTGAACAATGCTATGTACAGAACAGGGAAGCACATTATGCTATGAAAGTTCTAAAATAAAATGACTTCTTAAAATTTTGGGTTAACTTTGTTTGCAGATTGTACTTTGCCAAAACAATATACATAATCAATCTCAAATGAACAGAGTGGTTGCACATGAACTTATTCATGCATTTGATCACTGCCGTGCTCATGTGGATTGGTTTAACAATATGAGGCACTTAGCCTGTTCAGAGGTAAGTTGAAAAACTTAATTTTATAAATATATTTTAATAAGGATATCAGAAACACATGTGAAATAAACTTCATATCAATACCGTTATCACCCCCGTTGCCAACATGGGTGCGCTGCGGACCACTGGCCTTTCCTGGTGGCGGTGACATGAATGGGCGAGTGGCGCAGGGATACCTGCTCCTCCTCTGCCAGAATCGCACTTAGGGCAGTGTCCAGCCAGCCATGCCTGCCCTCCCCCCCAGCCCATGTGGATCCCAGGCCTTTCCTGTAGCATTGTTAAAAGACACAAGACAGGCAGGCACAGGGGAGCAACTGGCGGCAGCACTCCTGGCTGGCAAGGGGGTAGATATCCTGGGGCTGCATGTGGGCACCGCCGGCTCTGACAGCAAGCGGGCCAGGAATGTGAGCAGCTGGGCCTGGACCACGGCAAGCAAGCGAGGGGTGTGGGGGCACAAAGTTAGCAACTTACCAAAAATTATGCAGGCCACAGCAATCAAGCGAGGAGTCAGGGCAGGCAAGCAAGCAAGCAAGCAGCGGTAATGACAAGCAAGGAACTGGAACCAGAAAAGAGCTAAAGAACCATTAGGCAGCACATGTGACTCTGGAGTCAGGGGAGGCAGATGGGGTGGGACAGGGTGGGGCCAGCCAGTGGGGCAAAAAGTTAAACGGTTTGGACGGTTTTTTGCAAATGGGATGGGGGAGGGTAGTGTGATCTAGACCCAAAAATCAGCTGGGAGGTGCGCATGCACGGTGAAGCTGAGTTGGGTCAACCACTTCCGTGCCCCCAGAGAAGGCTCTGCGTGCCACCTGTGGCACGTGTGCCATAGGTCTGCCATCAGAGGTCTAAATCTACATGGAGGGAAGTAAGCAGTGGGGTGCCACAAGGTTCCATCTTAGGCCCAGTGCTCTTCAATATCTTCAGTAACAACTTAGATGAAGGAATAGAAGGGGAACTTACCAAATTTGCAGATGATACTAAGCTGGCAGGAATAGCTAACACCCAAGAAGATACGCTCAAGATCCAGATGGATCTTTACAGACTAGAACACTGGGCCATATCTAACAAAATGAAATTCAATGTAGAGAAAAATAAAGTCCTACACTTAGGCAAGAAAAACCAAAAGTACACATATAGACTGGGTGAAACCAGGCTCAATAGCAATAACAATGAGAGGGATCTTGGAGTCTTAGTGGACAACCAGCTAAATATAAGCCAGCAGTGTGCAGCAGTCAAAAAAGCTAATGCAATCCTAAATTGTATTAACAGAGTTACAATCAAGATAAAGGGAGGTACTAATACCACTCTAAACCTTATTAAGACCACACCTAGAGTACTGCATCCAGTTTTGGTCACCACATTATAAAAACGATGTTGAGACTCTAGAAAAAGTACAGAGAAGAGCAACCAGGATGATTAGGGGACTGGAGACTAAAACATACGAAGAATGGTTACAGGAACTGGGCTTGGCTAGTCTAGTAAAGAGAAGGACCATGGTAGCAGTCTTCCAATATTTGAGGGGCTGCCACAGAGAGGAAGGGGTCAAGCTATTTTCTAAAGCACCTGTAGGCCAGACAAGGAATAATGGATGGAAACTGAACAAGGAGAGATTTAACCTGGAAATAAGGAGAAATTTTCTGACAGCGAGAACAATCAACCAATGGAACAGCTTGCCCTCGGAAGTTGTGGTAGCGCCATCACTTGAGACTTTCAAGAAGAGATTGGACTGCCATTTGTCAGAAATGGTGTAGGGTCTCCCACTTGGGCAGGGGTTGGACTAGATGATCTACAAGGTCCCTTCCAACTCTGATTATCTGTTACATTCTGTAGATACTGCCACCTACTGAGATAATCAGAAGCTTACTGACTGATAGATCTGCATCAGCTCTTATAAAGTGCTATTTAAGCTAGTTTGGTTAGTATTACTTGGAGCAGGGGTGTCAAACTCACATCATGGCATCACATGATGTATCGGGACTTTCTTTCCCTTTGCTAAACCATGCATGGGCGTGGCCAGTATGTAACGCATCCAGCCCACAGGCCAGGATTTTGACAGCCAGAAAATAAAGTCATTGCTGAATCAGAATATCAACCCTATAGTGCCCATGGATATGTTCATCTAGGTTATTGGCAGCAGTATGGGAATAGTTTAGTACAGTTTTGGGGTGCTTCTTATAAAAACTTTTTGTCTAGCCTACAGCCTTGGAGTTTTCCTGGTGTATCCCAACCATCCTAACCAAGTATTAATAAAATCATGAATAATTAATAACATCAAAAATAGATGAAATCATCACTTTTTAGTTTTCTGCAATCAGCCAAGTTCATCTAAGGTTCATGTCTTATTTGAGGTAGTTTCTTCTGTAATTTGAGATGTAGCTACTACCTAAGCTCCGTATTCCTCAACTGGGGAATTCTGGGCATTGAAGTCCACAGATCTTTAAGTTGCGGTAGTTGAAAACTGCTGCCCTAGTTGAATAAGTAAGGTCATGTTCTATATATATAAAATGATATCAAGGTGATAATCTTTCAGCAGTTATGTTTTAATAGCATCCCTGGAGAATAGCTATATGAACAACCAAGAGAATTTACTTATTCTTAACCATTTGATTGTTGAAGCTCTTTTTAGCCATTATACCACAAATTGGAAATGAAGGACAGTTTTTCAGACATTCGGAAAAAAAGCTTTAAAATGGGATACTATGCTAACTTTCCTGTAAATATTCTACTCAATTTGTGCATCTTTTATAGATTCGGGCATCTAATCTCAGTGGAGATTGTTCTCTCATAAATGAGATGATGAGGTTTAGGTTTGGGCTGAAGCAGCATCAGCAGGTAAGTTAATAATAATCTGTAAAAGAAGAGGTTTGGGTTCATGTCTTCATTTGAGGTAGTTTCTTCTTCAACAATTTCTTACGTAGGAATGTAGTGTCAATAGACATGAAAAAGATAAGACCAGGTTTTTTCTTACTCATGCTATGTCTTTTTGTGTGTGTGTGTGTGCGCGTATATGTAGGTTGTGTGTGTGTGTGTGTGTGGAGAGGGGGAGAGGGAGGAACGGAGAGAGAGAGAGAGAATTAAAAATAATGCCTCCATTTCCATAATTTTAGCTGAAATAGGGAGGTTGAAATAGATGGAACAGAAAAATAATTCTCAAAATAAGCTGTTTTGTTACCTGAATTTATTTCCCCATAGAATCAAATTCTCAGTGATGGACAAGCTTCTTCAAGAATGAAAGAACTTCACATTTTGGTCTTCCATCAGCTCCTCACAGATGGGATAAAATAGTGAATCCACCTTCACAATTGTGTCTTGGGTGACTTTGTGATGTGAAGCCTGGCATTGTCTCATTGTCAGAAGTACCTTCTTATGCTTCCATATCCTGCTTAATTGGTTTTTTTTGTTTTTGAAGTGACAAAGGTAGAAGTCGAAAGGATTATCAAGGCCTGGTGGAAGAGACAGAATGTGAAGCACTTTTGTGAAAGCATTTAAAAATGTCCATCAAGAGAGTGATGCAGTGAATGGTGGTGATTATGTGGAAATGTAAATATAGTAATATGGTTAAAAGATAGATTTCAATAATTTTGGTTTTTTATTTATTAAAATAGAAAGAATAAGATTGCTTGCCCCAAAGGTGTTTTTTCAAGTGGCAACTGGACTTTCCGGTTTTTCTTTGAAGATGTTTCACTTCTCATCCAAAAAGCTTCTTCAGCTCCGAAGCTTCTTGGATGAGAAGTGAAACATCTTCAAAGAAAAGCCAGAAAGTCTAGTTACCCACTTGAAAAAGCACCTTCGGGACAACCATGACCTGTATGACTGAGAATCTCCCTAGACACGAAGATTACTTGTTTATCTGGACTTGGATAAAGTAATTGTTTATTGCTGTTTTTAGTTCAGGGCTACTTTATATAGGCCTTGAGTGCCCTACAACATTTATGAAGTAATAAATATATTAAATTATTTCTGGCTATTCTTTTGAAAATTGCTGTTATTCTTGAAATCATATAATCTAGATATGTGTATTTCAAGTAATGGAAGTCCTAGATATAAAGTCTGAATTTATTCATTGATCTAAAATTACTGCAAAAGCATTACAGATGCTTATGATTTTTTTAAAATGGCACAGCTGATAAAGTAGCCTCATGAATTATTTGTTATTAACTGTTGAATTGTACACTATGTTATCTTCCAAGTGATACATTTAATGTGGAAAATTAAAAAAAGATTTTTGAGTTAGATAGCAATACATTGGTAGATATCCATAGAAATTATAATTATTATCAATTTATTTAGGTAATTGTTATATTATCTAATATTATATAAACCTAATTGTTTAATGAAAGCTTCAGTAGATTAGATGTACCTCAGCCTTTTTTATCACCTGTTTCAGACTTGTGTAAAGATGAAAGCTGTTCGCTCCATGTTGGCTGTTAGAAATATCACTAAAGAGATGGCAGAGAAAGCAGTAGATGAAGTCTTTGAATCTTGCTTCAATGATCATGAACCATTTGACAGAGTGCCTCACAGCAAATTGGATGCAAAGTATGCATACAGAGGTTTTCAAAACCGTCACCGTTACTATCAAAATTTATGAAAATGAAAACTGTTTGTTCAGACTACCTATTACATTAGAGGATAATTGAAGTCCCTGGAGATTTGTTTAATTTCCATTCTGTGTTTCATTTGCCTAATTGATTGATTACTAATTTTTTTTCAACAAGCAAAATGGATATTTATGAACATAAGCATCAAGGGCTAGGCTCAAGGGAGGACAAATTATGAAAGTAACATCTCACTGCAAGCTCAGTAATTTATTTATTTGCTTTTGCATTGTGGGGAACCAAAAGGGGAGAAGTTTGCCACAGAACTGAGCTTTGTTCATTTTGGCTTTTAGATGTCTATGTGTATATTACTCTCTCAATTAGTTTTGTAATTTTTTTCATCCTTGTTTGAATAAAGGTCATTTTTAATTTATGTACTTTATTCCAAGTGGTTGGACAGTGTGATTTTGTCATTTAACATAATGTAAATATCATCAAACTCAGAACTGTGTAGTAAGTCAATATGTAAACAAACATTCAAACCAAATCATAACCACCTTGTTTTGTAGCACATTCAGAACGCATCCCAAATATCCCAAGTGTGCCATGACTAGTCATTTTTATCCATTGCTGCCCTAGTTTGATTGATGTTTCAAACATCAATGTACGATTTATTTGATTTTTTGTTTGTTTTTAAACTCTGATTTCTATCCAAATTGAAACAACATTCCAAACTGAATTGTAGGCAATCTGAACCCTCCAATGATAGTTTTATTTTTTACTAGAATTGGATAAAAATTTCAGGAACTTTAGGATACCACAAAGAAATGGAGGAAGCCAAACATCATAAAGACTGGTGAATGGGTTTTAAATAATAGTCATTTAATTAAAAAAATACAAGTTTCCATAACATTTGTTTTAAGACAGACCATAATGAAATTTGCAGCAAAAAGAAATTTTGTAGTGAAAAATATCTATCCAATTTCAGGCAGATAGATTAATGTGTTGGGAGAATGTTTACTGCACCATGAAAGAATAGGATGGTGTCAAAGAATGTCTTTCAAAATACAGTTAAAGACTGAAAGAGTCAGAAAATATACTCACTAAATTCAGTGATTTCTCCATCCTTTTTTCTGTGAACTATTTGGGGGAGAGGTAGTTTTTTGTTTGCTTGCTTTGTGGACAAATTGGAATTGCTGCAATTCCCTTTGAGTAAATTATTCTGTTCTGATCTAGATTTGGGATTCACACTGTCTTATCCATTCCTGTTCTCTCTATGTGTACATGCTCATATTAAAATAATTCTTTATTCCAGTGAATAATTCTTTACTAAAGAAGACATGTTCAAATATATATGCCTGACAAATATTAATTTTTGCATTAAAAACCCAAGAACTTGTTAAGTTAGTCTGGCTTCTGCCTTTTGAAAATGCAGCACCTGTCTTTGAAATGGGATATTACAGTGGCTCACAGAAATAAAAAAAATCAGCAAGAAGAATTTAAAAAGTAAAAATAGCTAACATACAACTATACCAAAACCACTGTTAAAAACCTCAAGCACAAAAGCATAATCATGATCAGAATACAATCAATACATCCAGTTTAGTATAACCATTGAAGAGGCTGCCTCCAACCGGACTGCCAAATGCACTGGCTCAACCATATCTTCAGGCCTTTTCTAAAGATTAGAAGGGCTGAGGCCAAACTGTTCTGGGGAATGATATACCAAAGGGCAGACATCATGGTGGGGCATCTGTGGCAGGCCTGTTCTGCCACATCTGATGAGATTGATGGAGTAACCAGGGATCTTGATGGGGGAAATGGCAAATATTTTATATCGCAATATTTATGCCTGCACATTTATTGTCCCACTGTGGAGTATTCTACAATTCTATCCATAATTATCTAATTCATAAACAACTAACCCTCCCTCTCCCTCCTCATGTTTCATGTCATTTTTAAAAAATCTTTCTTTCAAGCAGCAATTTTATCAGTGATCCACTATGTCATAGCTCGTGGCTGTAAAATGACTCAATACTTAGAAGTAAAGTAGCTAGAAAATATTTTCTGCACCTATGGAGAAAATTGTGCATTAAATTCTTCAAAGTTACTTCTTAACATAAACAGCTTAGCTTGCAATAACGTAATTGTGCTTCTTAATATTCCTGTGACCTTTAGTTATTTTCCAGTTTCCTCTTTTAACACTTTTTCCAGTATGGCAGCATTTTCAGGAGGCATCAAAAAGTCATGCACATAAACTGTTGTTCACTGTCACCTTGTATAATAATATGTTGCAAATATTTATGATATTAAGTGTAGGCTAAAAAAAACCTACCTTGATTTTCTCCCCCAAGTTGGTCCTTGTAATTTGAAGCATTTTAGCTGCTGTGGTTTGCAGTAGAAATATTCTATATACGAAAGTTTCCAAGATACCTCTCTATTCTGGTCCTTCAGATACACCAGATTTCCTTTATTTGCAACCAACATTGTCAAAATGCCCTAAAACATATTGCCTGAAGTAACAAAATGGCTCTATTCCAAAAATTGACTGGGTTTAAGAGCTGAACGTTATGTCTGTGGAACAGGCTAATTTCCTAATCACATCTGACCATGGGAGGCTAGCTCTGGGGAAGAACATAAAGAGTAATACAATGGAAGAAATAGGAGGTGCAGGAGACAGGTGGAGATGCTATCTCTCCCCCACCCCATAAAAATATCCGAGGTGTCTGCCTAATGACAGGGGTTGACTTAGCATGTGTTCAAAAGCTCCTCTGAGGATTGGTATATCAAATCAGCAATCAACTTGTTGGAAAATATCTAAACTACATTGGAATATCTACATAGTTTTGGGTAATACTATGGAAGTGACATAGTCTTCCATAATGCAGGTGCCAGGCCCATACCACCTTCCCAACCCAGACTAGATCAAATCCAGTTCAAAGGCCTTTTCGATGGCACCATGAGCATTTTAATTACTTCCTCACTTGAATTTGGTCCCACATACACCAATTTGGACACCAATGTGCAACAGAGCACAATTTGGTTACTGCCATTACAGATGGGATGAATGAGGGGGATGCATCTGACTGACTGGTGCAGCTACACAATGAACAAGCCCCAGAATTACAAGGTGTCAATGGGTTTATTTGATTATTGAGACTGTTGGCTTTGGAAGTGCTGAACAGAAATATTAGAGATGAAAAGAATATAAAAGGAGTGAAAATCAAAAAGGAAGAATTTAAGCTGCAAGCATTTGCAGATGATCTGGTTTTCATCTTAGAAGACCCTCTAGAAACAGCACCAAAATTGATAGAAAAGATAGAGACATATGGAAAGGTTTGGTTTGAAAATAAATAAAGATAAGACAAAGATCTTGACAAAGAATATGCTATTAAGACAAAAGGAAGAATTGGCAGACCTATTGAAAATTCAGGTCACAAATAAGATCAAGTACTTGGGAATATATTTGACAGCAAGATGTAGTACACTAAAAGAATAATTATATCAAACAGATAGCGCTAGGTATGGCAAAATGGGAACATTTACAACTGTCACTAATAGGGAGAATTTCAACAATCAAGATGAATATATTACCCAGAATTTTATATTTGTTTCAAACAATTCCAATTAGGCTTGGAAAAGATTACTTTGAAGATTTAAATAAAATTGTGTTGAAATATATATGGCAAGGTAAGAAAGTGAGAATAAGGTTAAAACTTTTGCAAGATGCTAGAATTAGAGGAGGATTTGGTTTGCCTACTTGGGAGTTGTACTATCAAGCTACAAATCTGATGTGGGTTAAGGAATGGATAACACTAAGAAATACTAGATTGTTGACATTAGAAGGACATGAATTGTTGTTGGGGTAGCATGCTTTTTTATGGTATAAAGGAACTAAAACACAAGGGTATTTTAGAAGACATTATATATATTTTCTATGGTTAAACTGGGAGAAGATTAAAAGACAATGTTATTTGAAAATTCCAGTCTGGCTATCGACTATTGAAGCATTTTCTTATCCTATAATATACAAAAAGGAACAAACAGTTAGATATGGTGAAATATTGAATGAAGAGGGTGAACTCAAATCTATATAAAAAGGAACAGAGGTATAAAGGTATAAAGATGAATTGGTTTTCATATGCGCAAATACATTCAAGGTATGATAAAAGATTCTAAAATGGAAGGTTTCTATGATAAATTGACTGATTTAGATAAGATTTTGACAGGTACTGATGAAAAAGTGATTAAAAAATTGTATGGATATTTATTAGAAATTAAATTAGAAGAAGAACAAGTTAAAGAAACTATGATTGCTTGGGGGAAGAATTTTGGATATGGGATCAATTTAGAGAAATGGCAAAAACTGTGGTCTCAAAATTATACAATGACAATGTCAACAGCATATAAAGAAAATTTGTATAAGATGTTTTACAGGTGGCATTTTCCCCCAGCAAGAATAGCAAGAATGTTCAAGAATAAATCTGAAAAATGTTGGAAATGTCATCAGACACCCGGCTCATATTATCATATGTGGTGGACTTGTGCGGATGCTAAAAAATACTGGACTAAAATCCACATAGTCATGTTACGTATGGGATTATTTCCAGAAATCTCTCTATACCAAGCTAGTTATATTGTAGTTGTTCAGACGTATTATTCTTGCTAAGAGTTTCCTTAATGCTATTTCGGCTTCAGTCTCTTAAATACACACACCATGCCTACACCTACATCCTTACTTGTGCCCCCGTTTCTCTTTTGCAGAGAAAAAGAATCAGCAACACAACCTTTTGTGCTATCTAAACATTTCTATCTATCAGGCTAATTTCTCCTCTATATTATATCTTCCCAGTGATATTATTGCAGATATTATATCCGGAAGGCAGCTCTGACAATCTACAACTTGAATGTGTTCTTTTTGTACAGTGTTTTAAACAATGTATATAACTTATGAATTCTTAGCATAGTTTAAAGGACAGAAGACCCCATCTTTCAGCTACCTATAGACTCCCAGCATGATAATGTCTTTGAAGAAGATTGTAACGTTTTATCTCCTTTTTTTACAGCAACAACAATTTAATTTGATTGGTGTGAGTTTGTGTGTATTTAAAAAAAGAAATATATATTGCAAGGCAATTTCTCTTGGATATTAACACATGGCATTACAGAAAACATAGTTTTTTAAAGTAAGAATGCCAGAATGCTGAAAAGAAAATGTCCTATGTCCTAATCAGAAATAGACCCAATATTTAAAAATCTTCCACTAATAAAAATAATAAATTTCAGAGCAATTCTACTTATAAATTTAATGTCACAATACCAGTGATTAATTGCACTGTCTATAAAATAAATTTGTTTCCAAGTCAAAATGTCATCTCGGTGTCAAATAATCCCATAGATTATCATAAACAGAGCTGGAGAAATTGTACTGTGGCTGGAAAGAGATGTGCTGTGAATTCTCATCGTTACTAAGACATGACTTCCATTGTAATTAACTGCCTATCACAATAGCTTCCTTGTGCTGTGTTGCCTGTTGTCACATATAAATTCATTATCATTTTTGTTGATGCATTACTGTTTCTCAGGTTAACCTTTCTTTCACAGCAGGATAAAAATCCTTCATGCTGATAGATCCTGTAACATCACTTACAGTACTTACTCAGAGGCTTCCCATTTCTTTTTTTCATTTATGACTAAATTACAAGTAAGGTTGAACACCTGGCTTTTCTAATGACAGGTGGTCCTTTCCATATACTGAAAATGTAAGATGTCCTCCCTTGGCAAGAAGAACCAAGTTATTGTTTTGGAACTGGAGCAACTACTGGAACTCTTCTCCACTGAACCCAAGAAGACCCTTTTTCTTAGATTGGGCTCAAGGGATCAGGTGGGATTGCTGCTGCTATACCAGCCTCCCTGCTGCGTGGTAGCTTCCCTACCTGGGCTCCTGGACCTCACCACAGGACTGACAGTGGAATTCCCCAGGCTTAGAGTTCTGGGGGATTTCAACCTGCCTTCTCTGGGGTCGGGGTCGGATGTAGCCCGAGATTTTATAGAAATCATGACTTCCATGGGCCTGTCCCAGATTATCCAGAGCCTGACTAGTAATAGTGGTCACACTCGCGATTTGGTGTTCATGTCGGAGCAGTGTCTATGTGACCTAGAATTGGTAGACCTCTCCTTGGTCCCCTTGTCACGGTCAGATCACAGTCTGGTGGCAATGAGTTTCTCAAAAGCTGCATCCCCCCGCAGGGAGGCAGGACCTATTAGATTGGTCCGCCCCCATCAACTAAGGGACCCAAATTGATTCCAGAAGGAGCTGGGGGTTATAACTACAGATCTATTATGCAGCCGAACTC